ATTTATTTATTTATTTATTTATTTATTTATTTATTTATTTATTGTGTGTGTGTGTGTGTGTGTGTGAAAGTCATCTTACCAGCCCTCAGTAATATATATTTGCTAGTGGATAATCACGGTGTGCTACAGCTAGTTATGTATCTGTGTGTATACACATGCCTATCTGTCTGTCTTTCATCTGTCTATCTCTTCCTAGCTATCATGTACATTTCTAGAGACCAAGACTGTGTTCCTGGTGTTCCACTGGCCTAGATAAAATGTGACAGACAGATCTTGCCCCAGCCCTCAGTAATATATATTTGCTAGTGGATAATCACGGTGTGCTACAGCTAGTTATGTATCTGTGTGTATACACATGCCTATCTGTCTGTCTTTCATCTGTCTATCTCTTCCTAGCTATCATGTACATTTCTAGAGACCAAGACTGTGTTCCTGGTGTTCCACTGGCCTAGATAAAATGTGACAGACAGATCTTGCCAAGTCGCCCCTGCCTAATATTTCAGCTTTCTTTCTTCTCACCCTCCTCCGCACAGTTCCCTCAAATGCCCAAGGCCTTCTGCTCTCAAACTGTGCATCAAGGCATCCCAGGACTTGTAGCCACTGGGCTTTGGAAGGTATTTTGACTTTTGGAGAGAAACATTGTGATACTCCTGTTATATACTATACAGCCTTCAATTAGAGAGTGTTCACTACTTCAACATTAGATGACCAGCTCTCTTTCAAATGGCATTAGCTGTCCATAGAGCTGGATATTCAACAGTCTTTACAAAGAAAATACTGTGTGGAAATCAATATGGAATGGGAAATTGGGGTGGTGGTGCACAATCTAGACCTCATATGCAATGCTCAACAGACATCCACACACTAATATACTAAGAGGGAAATTTGTTTAAGGTCAAGTTCAAGAAGCAACTTAGTTGTTAGGACTATTACTTAGTAAGTTCAAGTTCAAGGAGCAACTTGGTTGTTAGTAACTATTACTTGTAAGTTGTTGGGTCTAATTAGCAATAATGGGATAGCTAGACATATCTTTTGGCCCAGGGATGCCCAAACTGATAAAGTTCAGAAATGTCTGGCCCATGATGCCTCACCTTCACCCATACTATGGCCATGCTTTGGATGTCCAGGGTCATCTGGAAAACTTAGATGTATGCCTCAAAATAACTAGCTGAGATTCAGTCTCCTGCAGGAAGTCTGGCTTTCACTAATGAAGGTGGTGGGACACAGGTGGTCTGGCCTAGCAAACCTGCATCCCAGGGAAGCTTCATCTCTGTCAGCATTCTGTGTATAGTAATGTTCATCAAATAATAAAAACTTGGCTCTTTTGTGGAAAATGTCTCCAAGAAGAAACCCTAGAGACAGCATGGACTACCATCTTTCCCTCAGACCTCACAATGGATCTGTCAGCAAATCCACACTTTGAATTCTCCCCGCTCCTTCTAAGTCACCATCTCCTCACTTGCCTCCTTTCCAAGTCTTCTTGGTTGATGCCTCCACCGCTGGCCTTCTTCAGTTACCTCTCAATTCGACATGCACAGGAATCCTTTTACATATAAGTCAGCTCAAGCTATTTCACTTTAAACACTCTTTGGGCTTGAAAAGTCAAATGCTTCACTGAGTGAGAAGCCTGCAAGACTGACCCCTGTGAATGCTAACTTCTCACACTGTGCATGCCCACCTGGCTGTTCCTCACAGAGCAGGCACAGTTCAGCTTCCTGGCTTATGCACCTAATGATGCTTCTGCCCAGAGCTATCTTTCACAGGGCACTCCCAAATTCTCTTCAGATTTTATCATTAGTAACCTCTTCAAACAAAGCCTTCCCCAACCATCCCATCCTAAGTTTCCAGGCAAGTCCTACTCCCCTTCCCTGGTTCTTTTTCTCCAAAGCATATTTCTCTAACATACTATGTATGCCATATGTTTATCTTGCTTGTTGTCTGACTGTCCTACTAGAACAAAAAATTCAAGAGAGAAGGGCTTTCCTTCTGCTTTATCTGCTGCCTCGTCCTTGGTAGTTTGGATGGATTCAGAATAAATGTGTTAAAAGAACTACAAAAAAACTGAAATGGGACTTGGAGCACACCTGCAATCCCAGCCCTCGAGGCTGAAGCAGGGGTTTGAGGCCAGCCTGATGTGTGTGTGTGTGTGTGTGTGTGTGTGTGTGTATGTGTGTGTGTGTGTGTGTGTGTGTGTGTGAGAGAGAGAGAGAGAGAGAGAGAGAGAGAGAGAGAGAATGAATTGGCATATGGTTATCCAACTAGATTAGTGGAACAGAATAGAAATCTCCAAAGCAACCCCTCACATATGTGTGTTGTTTAGCCACAGGCAGCACAGAAGATTCAAAAGGAAATGACAGGCTTTTCAATGAAAGGTGTTAGAGAGATATGGCACCCGCATGACCACGTGGACAATAATGAAACCAGACCCCGAGTTCTAGGTGATCTAAATGAGAAGGCCAGAGATATAAAGACTCTAAATATAATCAACATCATGTGCGCAGGAAAAGGAGAATTTCTTTGAATATTTTATTTTTATGTATTTTAAAAATTTGTGTGTGTGAATGCATGTGTGTTTGTGTAAGCACATGTGTGCGCTGCCCTCAGAGTTCAGAAGAGGGCATCTGATCTAGAACTCAAGTTTCAGGTGGTTGTGAGCAGCCCAACCTGGGTGCTAAGAACCAAACTTGGGTCTTCTTTGAGAGAAGTATGTGCTCTAAACTGCTGAGGCATTTCTCCAGCCTCTGAGAATTTCATAAACAAGATACGAAAAGCACTATCTATAAAGGAAAAGAGAAACTCAGACCTGAAACAATTAAAAGTGTCCATTTTCCAAAAGACAGCACAGGTAGTGAAAAACAAAGGTACAAAACAGGAAACAGGTCTCAGATTAAGAATTCCGCTATTGCTGGATGTGGTGGCACACTCCTTTAATCCTAGCACTCTGGAGGCAGAGCTAGGCAGATCTCTGTGAGTTCCAGGCCAGCCTGGTCTATGTAGCAAGTTCAAGGCCAGCCAGGGTTACATAGTAAGACCCTATCTCAAAAAATGAAATTTAGCCCTTTTTTTTGGATGGAGGGCGGCCCAAGCCGTGCTCAGTCAGTTAGCTGCTGGCTCCATCCCCAGCCTCGAGCAGCACAGAGTGGGCTCAGTGGAAGATGGCAGTGTGGCTGCCGGCTTGTGTGGTGGACTGTGGCACCGGATATACAAAACTAGGACATGCTGGGACTACAGAACCAAAGTTTATCATCCCATCCTGTATTGCGATTAAAGAGTCAGGAAGAGTAGGTGATCAAGCCCAGAGGAGGGTGATGAAAGGTGTGGATGATCTAGACTTCTTCATTGGTGATGAAGCAATAGAAAAACCTACATATTCGACAAAGTGGCCAATCCGCCATGGTATAGTTGAAGACTGGGATTTAATGGAAAGATTTATGGAGCAAGTACTTTTAAAATATTTAAGGGCAGAACCCAAAGACCGTTATTTTCTTTTGACTGGACCCCCACCGAATACTCCAGAAAACAGGGACTATACTGCTGAAATAATGTTTGAGTCCTTCAGTGTTCCAGGCCTGTACACTGCTGTGCAGGCTGTTCTTGCCTTAGCTGCACCCCGGGCCTCAAGACAAGTAGGAGAGTAGACACTGACCCGGATGGTAATAGACAGTGGTGATGGAGTCACTCATGTCATTCCTGTGGCTGAAGGGTATGTAATCGGCAGGTGTATTAAACACATTTCAATTGCAGGATGAGATATAACATGTTTTATTCAGCAACTCCTGCGAGACCGGGAATAGGAATCCCTCCAGAACAGTCCCTGGAAACTGCAAAAGCAGTGAAGGAATGCTATAGTTATGTTTGCCAGATTTAGTAAAAGAGTTTAACAAGTATGACACAGATGGGTCAAAGTGGATTAAACAGTACACTGGAGTCAATGCTCTCTCAAAGAAAGAATTCTCCATTGATGTTGGTTATGAGAGAGTCTTGGGACCTGAAATCTTTTTTCATCCAGAGTTTGCTAATCCAGATTTTATACAGCCTATCTCAGAAGTTGTACATGAAGTCATTCAGAATTGCCCAATTGATGTCAGGCATCCTCGCTACAAGAATATTGTCCTTTCTGGAGGTTCAACCATGTTCAGGGACTTTGGATGTTGCTTATAGAGAGATTTGAAAAGAACTGTTGATGCTAGGCTGAAATTAAGTGAGGAGCTGAGTGGCAGGTAGATTGAAACCCAAGCTTATTGATGTGCACGTTATCACCTACCACAACGGTATGCAGTCTGGTTTGGAGGGTCGATGCTGGCTTCCACGCCCGAGTTCTACCAAGTATGCCACACTAAGAAGGATTACAAAGAAACTGGGCCTAGCATTTGTCGTCATAATCCAGTGTTTGGATTCATGTCATAGGCTGGACTTCCTGGCTTTTGGGGTTAGGGAGATGGAAACGAGAAGCTTTCCAATGACCTGTTTTGCCTGAATGACTGGTTCTGAGGTTTTAAACCTGACTTGAAATAGTAAGACCAAACAAGATTGATTATACAGGAATATTTTAATGAGCGTATCAGCATGCAAATGTAGAAGAGAGCCAAAATGATTAAGTGTTTTCCTTTAGATTGAATATTTGAATCTTATATGTATCAAAAAGAAGTGGATTTTAGTTCTTTCTGTGCCCTGATATTTTGTATATTATTGAACTATCCAAGATTTGCTGGGATTTATGGGTGTAGATAGCTCTATAATGTGTGAATTGGACACTTCTAAGTGGGCCATGCAGGAGCTTGTTTATATTTCATACTTTTATACTTTGAGGGAAAGAGTCAAAGAAAAAAAAACTGTAATATTGGAGGAAAAAAAGTGACCAAGTAAAGAATGAATTCAACAAGCAGCCTCATGAGACATGGCGCACATACTCATGGGTTCCCGTTATTATGAGTTGCTCCTCTCCCCTCTCCCTAGCCCCTAATGGTTTTCTCTGCAAGTGCTTTTGGAACTAGGAAGCGAGTCTCCTGGATTAGCTGATGCTTGCTAGTGCTTCCCAATTACTCCCATCTGTTTCTTGCTTTAAAAGAAAAGATGAGGACGTTGGACCAGTATTGCAGTGCTGTAGTGTCATTTCTTAGTAAAACAATAATGTGATTACCAAAACTGGCATATTTAAAAGGCCAAATGCCATTCTAATAAAGGCAGAAATTTCTTTTTAATACTTGTTTCAGGCTCTGATCTCTTTATAGGTTAACTGATAAGTCTATTTCCTTCAAACTTCTGCAGTAATTCTTTGAAAACCACAGCAGTCGGACAGCAAGCTGACTTTTTTATGTGTTCAAAAAAAAATCTGACATATCATGGAAAGTTCATTTTCTTTGCATTTTAAAATATCTGGATCATGAAGAAAAAGTGACGACAATAAATTAAAGTTGAATTACCTTTTCTGGTGGTGGTTCCTCACAAGTGTAGTTGAACTCACTAGCTATACATTTGATAGGCCTTCTGTTGCTGCTGCAATGATGGGATTTGTTGAAATTTCTGTCATGTGTATGGTAGAAAAATTCTTATGAATATAAAATTTTACCAGTTATTTATAGAACAGTAAAATGGGATATGTTTTAAAAAAATTGAAGAACTTAAAACAAGTCTGGTGTGGTAGTGTACACCTTTAATTCCAGCACTCAGGAAGCAGAGGCAGGTAGATCTCTGTGAGATTAAGATCAGCCTGGTCTACATAGCTCCAGGCCAAAAAGAAAAAGGAAACATAAAACATATAGAATTAGGAACACCTCTATCTAAAAGTTAAAGGCGAAGCAAGTATTTTTGGTTTTTTTGTAAGAAAACTGTAGAGACAGACTCAGCGGTAAACATTTTATGTAAAGTGTATCTGGATATTTAGATTTTTTAAAGGATTTTATTTTTTATTTGTGTGTATGTATGTATGTATGCACACATGGGTGCCTGTGGAGACCAGTAGAGGGTATTGAATCCCTGGAGCTGGAGGTACAGGCAGTTGTGAGACACACAATGTGGGTGCTAGGAACTGAAGGATCTTCTGGAAGAACAGCAAATGTTGTTAACCATGGAGCCATCTCTCCCGCAGCCCCCACTGTTTGAATTTTTCTTCATCATTTATGTGAGTTTGGAGATGGAGTGAAGGACAAGCAGTGAGTCCTAGAGAACAGTGGAGCCGCAAATTTCAAAGATGTCTTACTTGAAAAAGTTTGTAAACCTCTTAGGAAGCTATTCAAACACTCAAAAGAGTAGCGAGTAGATGCTCTCATCCTCACCATCATCGTTTATCATTGTGTTTGAGGAGTATGTCATGCGTTCATGTAAAAATAAAGACATCGCCCATATTGCACAAAAAAAGAAAATTAAAACAAAAACAAAAAAATAAATAAAAATAAAAAAGGAATTCCCAGTATCAGTAGTAAAGAAATCACTAGAAAATGGGTAAGAGGTTTAATAGGCTCTTTACAGAAAAGGAAATCCAACCGGTCAAGAAACCTGGAGAAGGGCATTGAACTTTTGTTCTCTGTAAATAATTTCAAATCAAGCCAGACATGGTGGCACATGCCTTTAATCCCAGCACTCAGGAGGCTCAGTCTCTGTGCCATCAAGGCCAGCCTGGTCTACATAGGGAGTTCCAGGCCAGCTGAGGCTACTGGGAAACTGTGTCTCAAAGAAAGACTGAAAAAAAAATTCAAATCAAATGCACAGTGAGATGTCTGCCAGATTGGCACAAAAACATGAAATCTGACAAGCCCAAATGTTGGCATGGATGAAGAGCAAAGGAAATGTTCATCCATCACTGGTAGGCACAGAACATGCACGAGCACTTACACAACAGTTTGGCGTTGTGCACTGGAAGCGCAGACAGGAATAGTCCATGCTGGTATCTACCTTAGAGAAACACATGCTCCCCATCAACGGGACACATGCAGAGGGGAAGATCATAGAGCAGTGTCTACGGTCAGCATGAAAGAGTGGCCTGCAGAACAGGCTCAGAAGGACTGTACTACAAAGACGGAAACGCCCACCAAAGCAACGCACAATGGCTCACACAGATGAGCCGGATACAGAAACACACAAAATGACTGCCTTCACATACAGTGCAGAGACAGATGCGCCACACTGCGTAAAGACTGTGCATTGGTGAAAAAATTATATTTAAAAGGGAAGGAATGGCTAATAAAGATTGAGCTCCTGTCTGTGTCAGGGAGAAAGGAAGCTGGAACCGGGACGACTTAGCAGGTGGCTGTGGCCTCTCACAGGAGTGCTGGTTTTCCGGTCTTTGCACTTTTTGAGGAAAACAGTATTATCTGTTTTGTGCACTCTTTTGTGCATAGGATGCATAATAAAATTAAACTTTAAAAAGGAGAGAGGAGAGCTGGCAGCCCTTAACACAGCTAGCAGGAGTCTAGCAAACTGTTCTTGCAATAAAATGGGAGTTCTGGATCACTTGGAGATGTCGTGGCAGCTGTACCACAGCTTTGTGTGTAGGAAGAGCCTATCATAGGCATTAGGTGAGAATGTGAAAGGGGAATTTGTCAAACCGTTTTGGCAAGTATTCCAGCCAATATAAATGTAAGCTTATCAAGTGAGATAAATTATTGAGTCTGAAAGAGCCGTTCAAAGTTTTACTCCAAGAGGAAAAGTGTATGCTAGAGTGGTGTGCTGATGAAGGCAGATAAACACTGTCATCTCGGAGGCTGAGCACAGGAGGCCTCACTTCCCATTAAACCCATTGGTGGCTGGAGGAAGGGGCATAGAATAGCTTTGCTCCACACAGTCATTCACATACATATGTCTGTATGCTGGACACTGATTGACACATAGTCAGCAGGTGGGAGAAATAGCCTGTGGATCCCACAGAAGGGTTTAGGGCAAGCGGGCACATCGCGCTGCCCACATTCCACTGGCCAGAACATGTGAGCACAGTTGGAAAATATCATCCTTCCCTGTGTTCTGAGCTTGGAAGGGGAGCACAGGGCTTCCTCCAGCCGCTTCTCCTGCTCTACCACAATGGCTTTCACAGCTTTTTCCAAAGTCAAGGTTCCACTGCACTTTAATTAAAGTACTGTATGCCTGTGTGTATGTGAATGTGTGTCTCTGTATGCTGTCTGTGTGCCTGTGGTTTGTGTTCATGTATAGGTGTATGCATATCTGTTTGTATGTGGTATGTCTATCTGTTGATATGTCTGTGTGTGGTATGTTTGCATATATGTGTGTAATATGTGTGTGTGTGGTGTGCCTGTTTGTGGTATGTGTGTGTACGTGTATGTGTGTGTGTGTGTGTGAGATGGGTCTCACTATGTGGCATGTGTGTATGTCTGTGGGATGTGTGGGGTGTGCATGTGGTGGATCTACGTGTATGTCTCTGTGTGGGGTGTATGTGTGTGTGTGTAACTGTGTGGTGAGTGTGTATGTGGTGTGCGTGTGGTGGGTCTGTGTGTGTGCATGTGTGTGTATGTATGTGTGTGTATTGTATGAGTGTATCATGTGCCTTTGTGTATATCTGTATGTGTGGTAGTGAGTCTGTATCTCTGCATGTGTGTGGTATGAGTATGTGGTATGTCTATGTATAGGTCTGTGTGTGTTACATCTGTGTGTGTGGTGGGTCTCTGTGTGTGGCATGTGATGTATGCGTGGTACTGAGGACTACACCTAAGACCTGACACACGCCAGGCAAGCACACTGCATCCCCAGCCCTGAGCACTTAGTACTGCACAGTGCTCATGCTACAAGCTTCATAATGTTAAGGACTGGGTCTTTTTAAACAAGTAAAAACACATGCAAAAGTTTCTTAAACACCCCTCATGCATTATACAGAAGACAGTACAGCATGTGAAATCCTTCATGCCTTGCTTTTGTTGATTTAACAGTCTCAGAAATCTTCCTGTGTCCACACATAAAGGGTCTCCTAGTTCTTTGTTCTAACTGCATAGTATTCCATTATATGGGTATTTTGTAATGTATCTAGCAAAGGAATAATCCATAATCTAGCATAATACCTAATATACAAGAAAGCATTTTATAAGTCCTCAGGAGGCAAAGCATGGTTTTGACAAAGCAAATAAATGTAGACACGAAAAAAGTCCCAAACACAATATGTTAACATTAAACAAAGCTAATTTATTAACAGGATAATTATCCAGGCAGTAAGTGGGGCATGCTGACTAATAGCCAAACTTCTAGACTCAGGCCACATGAGTTGGGATTCCAGCTCCAGTTATGACCTTGGGTGAACTGCTCTCACTGTGCCTCCATGTCTTTACCTATTTTTCTTAATTCTAGAACAAAATGCCTGAGAGAAGCAACCTAGGGAGAAGGGTTTGTTAGGCTCACAGTTCTAGAAAGAACAGTGTGTGGGAACAGGGAAGGACTGGGCAGCTCTGTCCGTGACACAGCTGTTCATA